ACATGTTTTCAGATATTATAAAGATCAGATATTCTATTATTCCATACACTTAAGATGTCCATAAGGGGCAAATCCACAGACAGAAAGTAGACTACTGGTTGCCAGGGGTTAGTGAGGGGGCAAATGGGGAGTGATTACGAGTGAGCATGGGCTTTCATTTTGAGGTGATGGAAATTTTCCAGAATTAGAAACTGGTGATAGTTGCATAACTTTGTAAGTATACTAAAAATCACCATATTGTACACTTTAAAAGGTGAACTTTGTGGCATATGAATTACACCTCAATAAAAAAATATGACTGGAACAATGGAGGAATCTTACCACGATAGAGAAAACTAGGGAGGGGCACATGTAGGAGAGAAAGGCAGAATTTGTTTTGGATATGGCAAGTTTGAAATACCCATTAGATTGCACTCTGTGTTAACTAATTAAACTTTAAATCAATCAAACAAGTAAAACAGAAAAGAAGTATCCATTGGAAGGGCTCCTGGGTGGTTCATTCGGTTAAGCATATGATTCTTGGTTTTGGCTCAGGTCATAATGTTACAGTTTGTGTTGAGCAGTGTCAGGCTCTGCATTGAAAGCAGGGAGCTTGCTTGGGATTCTCTCTCTCCCTCTTTCTCTGCCCCTCCTCTTCTCCCACCTGAAACAAAGAAATAAACTTAAAAAAAAAATACCCATTAGATATCCAAGTGGATTTCTGAAGTATGTAATTGGAAATATTAGTCTTCAGGGAAGAGATATGGGTTGGAGACATAAATTTGGAGGAAAATGAATTAATACAGGTAAAACACTTAAACTGGTTCCTGGAGGCTCAGTCCATTAAGCACCTGACTTGGGCTCAGGTCATCATCTCATGGTTCTCATGGTTCATGAGTTTGAGCCCCACATCTGGCTCTGTGCTGACAGCCCAGAGCCCAAAGCCTGCTTAGGATTCTGTGTCTCCCTTTCTCTCTGCCCCTCTTCCACTCATACTATGTGTCTCTCTCTCAAAAATAAATAAACATTAAAATTAAAAAAAAATGGTTTCTGGAACACAGTAAGATCTATAAATGTTAGCTATTATAATAATTATTTTGGGGGTGCCTGGGTGGCTCAGTCGGTTAAGCATCTGACTTCGGCTCAGGTCATGATCTCACGGTTCGTGGGTTCAAGCCCCGCGTCAGGCTCTGTGCTGACTGCCAGCTCAGAGCCTGGAGCCTGCTTCCAATTCTGTGTCTCCCTCTCTCTCTGATCCTTCCCTGCTCATGCTGTCTCTCTCTCTCTCAGAAATAAGTAAAACACTTAAAACAATTTTTTAAAATAGTTTTTTTGTATGTATAGAGTAATAGTCAATTGTCCAAACACAATTTGTAGAATCCTTTACTCTCTGATTTTTTAAAAGATTTTATTTTTAGGTAATCTCTATACCCAGTGTGGGGCTCAAACTTACAACCCTGAGATCAAGAATCTCAGGCTTCACTGACTGAGCCAGCCAGGCACCCCTACCCTCTAAATTCCTTTTTTTCCTTTTTTTTTTTTTAAGAGAGAGAAAGAGAGAGAGAGAGAGGACTGGGAAGGGGCAGAGAGAGAGGGCAGAGAGAATCCCAAGCAGTCTCTGCACTGTCAGGGCAGAGTCTGATGCTGGGCTCCATCTCAGGAACCCTGAGATCATGACCTAACTGAAACCAAGAGTCAGACGCTTAACCCCCTGGGCCACCCAGGTGCCTCTCTACTCCCAGATTTAAAAAAAATTTTTTTAATGTTTATTATTTTTAAGAGAGAGAGAGAGAAGCAGAGATCAAGCAAGGGAGAGACAAAGAGAAGGAGGGAGACACAGAATTGGAAGCAGGCTTCAGGCTCTGGGCCACCAGCAGAGCCCCATATGGGGCTGGAACTCACAGACCAAGAGATCAAGACCTGAGCTAAAGTTGGCTGCTTAACCAACTGAGCCACCTGGGTCCCCAAGTCCCTGATTTTTAATGCCACTTCTGTTATATACGAATCTCCCATTTTACCGAGGGTTTGTTTCTATTGTTGCATTCTTTCAACTAGGAATTGTTTCAGGGGAGAGTAAATTGGAAGCCAAGACTTCTCTCGACTTTTCCCAGTTCACTTCACAAAAACCTAAGTGATTTTATGCTTCTGTTTCATCTTTGTTACTCAGGGAGAAGTCACCTGGATTCTTTCTGCCTTTTAGAAGGTGCTGTGAGGATGGATGATATCCCAGGCAGGAAGTTCAGAAGGCCAAGTAATGTAATGCTGTAGAAAGAAGTTACCTGAGAGAAAATAGATTCCATCAGTAGTACTTTGAGTCAATTCTGCTTATAATTATGGTAATTCTTTAAAAGTTGTTTTTTGCTTGGTTGGTTTTCTTTAATTGTGGCAAAACCCCATATAACATAAAATATACCATTTGTGAGGGGGGAGGCTGGCTGGCTCAGTTGAAAGATCATGTGCCTGATCTCATCTCAGGGTTGTGAGTTCCAACCCCAAGTTGAGTGTAGAGATTACTTAAAAATAAAATCTTTGGGGCACCTGGGTGGCTCATTTGGTTGAGTGTCAGACTCTTGAATTTGGCTCAGGTCACGATCCCAACCTTGGACTCCATTGTGACCATGAGATTCTCTCTCCCTCATTCTCTTTGCTCCTCCCTCCACTCTTCCCCCCTTACTCATGTGCGCTCTCTTTCTAAAAAAAAAAAAAAAAAGAAGGGGTGCCTGGGTGGCTTAGTTGGTTGAGCGTCCGACTTTCGCTTAGGTTATGATCTCGCCGTTCGTGGGTTCGAGCCCCGCGTCGGGCTCTGTGTTGACTGCCAGCTCAGAGCCTGGAGCCTATTTCGGAGTCTGTATCTCCCTCTCTCTCTGACCCTCCCCTGCTCACGTTGTCTCTCTCTCTCCTAGAAATAAATAAAAATATAAAAAATAAAAAAAAAATTTAAAAAAAAAGAAGAAATATATATATGTATATACATATATAAAAATCTTAAAAAGTAGTAATTGAAAGTTTATTTATTTATTTTGAGAGAGAGAGAAAGAACATGGGAGGGACAGAGAGAAGGGGAGAGAAAGAATCCCAAGTAGGCTCCACACTGTCAGTGAAGAGCCTGATGCAGGGCTCAAGTTCAGGAACAGTGAGATCATGACCTGAGCTGAAATCAAGAGTTGGACGCTTAACCCACTGAGCCACCCAAGCGCTCCTAAAAATTTATTTTAAAAAGCACCATCTTGGGGCACCTGGGTGGCTCAGTGGGTTAAGCATCCAACTTCGGCTCAGGTCATGATCTCACAGTTTGTGGGTTCGAGCCCCATGTCGGGCTCTGTGCTGACAGCTAGCTCAGAGCCTGGAGCCTGTTTCAGATTCTGTGTCTCTCTCTCTCTCTGACCCTCCCCTGCTTATGCTGTCTCTCTTTCAGAAATAAATAAAAAAAAACATTAAAAATATTTTTTTAAATAAAAATAAATAAAAAGCACCATCTTGGTTACCACAGGAGAAAAAATTGTAATATAGTCTTTCCATTTTATGTTTCACCCCAAATAGCCCCAAGGCTGTCTTCTCATAGTTCAACTGTTCCTGCATACATGTTCCTTCTTCAAAGAGGCCTTCTCAACACCAGGAGTAAAAGTTGCTTCCCCACCTCCCCACTTTCTGTCTCAGTATCCTGAAAGCACTCTTCACTACTGAAATATTTGTGTTTATTGGGTTATTCACTCTTTTCCTCCCCGCTAAAATAGAACTCCTACCAGAGCCAGGACCTGCTCTGTCTGCTCTTCTCCCCATGCCTAGAACAGTGCCTTGCACATACGATATACTGTTAAGTGTTTGTAGAAATACTTGCTGAATAATAAATATAGTGTTCTTTAATTCTCAGTGTTATATATTTTATCTCATTTGATCGTTACAACTCTTTTGAGTAAAATGGGATTACTAGCCCCAGAGTAAAGAGACTCAGAGAAGCATCTCACCAGAAGTCACAGGCTAATTAAATAACAGGGTTGGGACTGCTACCTAGGTGGCTTGCTTTTTCTAATACTTTCACTCCAATTCTAGGGCTAAGGGCATTTCAAACTACTTTCCAATTAAGGAAGCGGTTACTCTGAAGGACAGTAGAAACAACCTGCACATTTATTTATAAGACGCCAGTTCCTGCATTTGAACCTTACCATCCACACCCCACTCTTTCTGAAGTCACATATACATAGCAGAGTTATGGCCACAGTGATATTATTCTAAGTGTAAAGAAGAAAACGTAATTACTCAACTGTTTGGAAACCTGAATCCCCTTGTGTATCCGCCTTGAACCCTCCCCTTTTTAAAAACAGCTTCATTGAGGTATAATCTTTCATTTTTCTTTTTTTCAAGTTTATTTTGAGAGAGAGAGAGAGAGAGAGAGAATGAGCACAGGTAAAGGAGGGGCAGAGAGAGAGAGAGAGAGGGATAAAGAATCCCAATCAGGCTCGGACTCCAGGCTGGAGCTCATGGCCAAAATCAAGAGTCTGATGCTTAATTAACTGAGCCACCCAGGTACCCCAAAACTTTTATTAATGTGCGCTCCTTTAGCGGCCAAGGGAAGGGAAACAAAAGTGCGCTCCTTTGAAAAAATCTTACTCCCTCGAATGTTTACTTGAATATGTACTTTTGAGTTTATTTAAGGAAAATCTATACCTAACGTGGGGTTTGAACTCATAACCTTAAGATCAAGGATCGCATGCTCTTCTGCCAGGCTCCCCTTTACCTTCTGGATCTCCACTACTTCAGGCACCTGGAAGGATTCCCTTTTCCTTTCCCTTTCCCCCTCTATTCCACAGCCAGGCACGTGTAACCTGTGTGTACCGAACTCGCTCAGCCTCTCTCCCTAGTCCAGCCCGGCCCACTGAAAGCCCGGCCCCTTCTTCTTTCCGGAGCCCCGCCTTTCGGCCACTTTCCAACTTAAGGCCTACGGATCTCGCCCTTCCTCCCCCAGCGCCCCCCCACACATCTCGCGAGAGGTGAGAGCCCCTGGCCGGACGAGAAGAAAGTATCTGCTCCGCTGAGGGGGGAAAGAAGGAGCTGGAGACAGATTGTGGGAGCGAACGCGGGCGGGCGGGAGGCGACGGAGCTACCAGCGGGTGAGTTCTTTTAACATTAACTAGTCCATGATCTGGCAGAGTCTCCCTTTCAACTCTGGCCAGTCCCAGTGTCCCAGCCCGGGGTCTCCCCTCCCAGTCTGTGTTGGACGGGGGCGCTGAGGCGGTGGCCGGGCCCTGTCTGAGGAAGTAGGTGGGGCATGGACTAACGCCGACCAATAAAAGAGAAGGAAGCTACGATTGGCGGCGATGACCACTAATGAGAGATCGTCTTTACCTTGCGGAGTGCCGCCCCTCTTCTCTCCCTCCTACCTCCTCCTTCCTTTGGGGGGGGGAAGGCGGGGCCAGAGGCCTGAAGTGTGGGGAGAACTTGGGGTAAGTAGCCCCGGGGGGCACAGGGCGTGGCAAGGAGAGGGGAGTTGAATCCTGAGGGAATGGAAGTCTGGTAGAGCCTAATGGGAAGATCAGGGGATGGGGTGGAATGGGACGAAGGAGAGGGGTTGAAGACCCAGGCTTATCAAAGAGTGGTGTTAGGGGCTTGGCATTGGAAGAGCCAGGGGTAATAGGCAGGAGGTAGGGAGAGGAGGTGAAAACATGGCACTGGGTTTGGTTGGAACGATAGGTAGGGGTAAATCATTGGAAGTGGGAGTCATGGCATTTCGACAGAATTATGAAAAAGCGTAGGGACAGGATTTCAGAGACAAAGTCTGAATTTGGAGAAGATTCAGTGAATGAGCTTAGGAAGAGTTAATAGGGGTGGACTTAGTAGCCAAAAAGCATCGCTTTTGAGAGGGATGTAGGGGAATTCAGCGGGATAAAGGAGGTGTTTGGAAAGGAGACAGCTGATAGATACAAGTTTTTAGCCTAGATATCAGAAGCAGCCTGGGATATTGGTTTGGGGCTTTTTGGTGTATAGGGCACCTAGTCTCGTGACCAGCTTGCAAGAATAGTGGGATAGGGGTAGGGGAAGAGAAAAATAGACCACTTTCATCACTTCTTCTCTTATTTCCTTTCTCCCTCCCTTCCTTTTCCTACGTTCATATCTTCCTAAACTCAGGGATGGGGGCTTGGGACTTAAGCAGTCCAATTTGGAGCCCCATTGGGAGTCATATGTTGCTGGGAATCGCTTGTTATTTTCTCAGACTGGGGTGTTTACTACCCAAGGCACCTCCTACCCAGATTGCCGCGTTGCTACTTTCCTAACTTTAAAAGTTTGTTTTCTACTGAATAGAGGAGTGCTTTAGTATCTCCGAAGGTTGTGTCCTAGTAAGTGTAGGGTTGTGGGGGTGTGCAATGTTTTCTGGGCAAGCTCACTTGATTCTTAAGTTTAAAAACTTTGCAGTAGTGGAAGTAAAGTAATTCTTGTAAAGACCGTGGTCTTTACAGTTATTCTAAGCACAGAAAAAATACTGAATTGAAGTTTGTTTTGTTAAATGTCTTATCTACTCATATACTTGAAGAGTTGTTAAACGGAGGCTTGTAGTTAGTTTTCGTTAGCTTATATATTTTAAATGGTGGAAATAAGGTGGACATAATTTCAGGAAAGTGAAAAAAACTCAGTTTCTTCCTCTGTGTCTAGACTCAGAAGCTAAAGAGATGTCATAATATCTTAGGGCAAGGGTTGGGGAAATCAAACACAATTTGTACTTAAACATGGAGGATGTAAGGTAAGTGGAGACTATTGCGAAATGTAACATGTCTGTAAGAAAAGAAGCTAAAGAAAAGTTTGGCAGCTCTACTAAGTAGTCTTACCAGTTCTTAATTCTGTACAGCAAAGGGACAAACCTTTGCCCTTTGTTTGCTAGTTGTGTATTATTTAATAGTGGATTGAGCTAATATAGCCAATTAATTAATAACTTCTTTGCTGTTGCATAAATTTGTCTTTTCCATCCTTCTCTTCTCCTTTTACTTTTGAGAAGCAAAAGAGTGTCTGAAATGCCAGTAAAGCTGTTACATAAAGAGAAACTGGAGTGCGTTGCTTTGTATTAACCTTTGGTTTTCAGCGACCATTTGAAGCTTTTTCTCCTGGCCAGAAAGTTGCCCCTGCAATACACTAATACAAATTAATTACTGACACTTTGGCATTAATTACTGAATTGGGGTCCAGTATTTCACATTTAGAGCAGTGCTATTGGACATTCAGACATTTTCGCACTTTGCCTGGCAGCAGCAGAATAAATATATAGTGAAAAAGCAAAGTCCCTTGTTTTATTCTCCCATCCTAGAATTTGTGATGGCTTTAACTTGGGCACTATTAAATGCAAGATTGCCCCCCCTACCCCACCCCACTGGTGTTAACACCTAGCAGAAAGCTAGAGAGTGCTAACGTTGTTCATCTTTAAGCTTGTGGATCAAAGGTTACATCCTGTGATAGTTTCAGTGTTGTAATTTTTAAGCATTTTTATTTACCATAGCTTTTAAATGTCCATGGGCACTGCTGCTGTACCTCCTTTCTCCTCTCCCCGCTTCCAAAATGAAAATTGTTTTTTTTTCCCCCAACCAACTCTTAAGCTAGTACTTTGCCTCCAGTAAAGTCCCTGGCTCTGCCTGAACACAGCTGCTCTGAAGTTCTCACAAGTTACTGTTTCCTACATGTCAAGACTGAGTTTTCTTAGGCTTCAGTAGGAGGGAGTCCGTGTTCAAGCAGCCTCATCCACGCCTGATAAGGAGGAGTCTTCTCCTTGCAAGGAAGTTTTAGGTGGAGCAAACTGCATTGCCTTGTAAATGTATAACAAAGACAGCTCTCTCCTTGAGACTAGTTGGCAGACTGGCATATAATTGTCCCTTATCCCCTGATAAAGGTACTAAAGTTAAGATGCAGAGGTTGTTTCTTGGAGAAAAACAAATGCAGCATTCATTTAAAAAGAAGACACATCAATTTCTTTTGTTGTAGGTTTCACTGAAAATGGTATTATGATTTTAGAGTTTATGAAAAAGTCTTCTATTGGGGTTCCTGGCTGGCCCAGTCGGTGTACCTTGCAACTCTTGATCTCGGGGTTGTGAGTTCGAGCCCCATGTTGGGTGTAGAGAGAGAATACTAAAAAAAAAATAATAATAATAAATAAAAACTTTAAAAAAGAGAGAAAAGGTCTTCCATCTATTTAGAAACATGTCAAGGAAAACAATTTTTAAGCGTCTGGTTTTTGAATGTTGTCTTCCTGCAGCAGGCTTCTTTTGGGATCAGTATATTCATGAAATGCGTGAATACATTATATTTGGAATCCCTGGTAGTTGGGTCTTTTCACTTCCTAATGTTATAAGGAAGAGATCCCCACTTCACAGATACCCTATTCCATTACTGGAGGCCTACTTTTATTTTTTTTTTTATTTTTTAATACTTTTTATTTATTTCTAGGAGAGAGAGAGAGACAGCGTGAGCAGGGAAGGGTCAGAGAGAGAGGGAGATACAGACTCTGAAAAAGGCTCCAGGCTCTGAGATGGCAGTCAGCACAGAGCCAGACGAGGGGCACGAACCCACAAACCGAGAGATCATGACCTAAGAGAAAGTCGGACGCTTAACCGACTAAGCCACCCAGGCACCCCCGTAGGCCTACTTTTAGAACATTCTTTACATTGTGCTGAAGCTCTTTAGTTCTGCCATTTGTAGCTACAATAAATAAACCTAATTCCTTGTCAGCATGGTAGCCCTTCAAATATTTGATGCCGGTCATGTCCCATAAAGAGAGGCTTCTCTTACTGGGTGTAGATATCCCAAGTTATTTCAGCCACTCCATAAATGATCCTTTTTAAAGTTCAAGCTCCTCATCAACTCGTTACCTGAATCTTTAGGGTTTCTTATCTAGAACTAAAGTATGACATTTCGGGTATAATCTGATCAATACAAAATGCAAAGGAGAGTATGGCCTCTTTTCTGCTGCACGTGGTACCTCTATTCCTAAAGTCTAAGATTGCATTAATTTGGGTAATTAAAAAAATTTTTTTTAATGTATTTATTTCTGAGAGAGAGAGACAACATGAGCAGGAGAGGGTCATAGAGAGAGGGAGATACAGAATCTGAAGCAGTCTCCAGGCTCTGAGCTAGCTGTCAGCACAGAGTCTGACACGGGGCACAAACCCACGAACTGTGTGAGATCATGACCTGAGCCAAAGTCGGACGCTTAACCGACTGAGCCACCCAGACACCCCAATTTGGGTAATTTTTTAAATGTAATTGATGGCCTTAAATTTATCCTTGTTCTTGTCATCTTGTTCATTTGGGTTTATTGTTTTAGCTTAATAATATTATTTAGCCTCTTGGCCATTCCTCATATCAAATCCTCATATTTGTATCATTGATAGATAAATTTGATAAATGACATAAACACGATACCTATGGTTTTGTTTTAGGTCACTGGTAAAAATAAGTAAGGGTGGAGCGATGCTATGTAAATGAGCACTCCATCCATTAATCAGCCTTTTGGGTAAAGTTCAATTATGAATCCACCTACTGTTTTATCATCTAACCTAAATTTCCTGTGAAATATGAAGAGGTATCTTAAATCTTAATATATTGTCTCTGACTTATCCCTGAGCTCCTAGGCTAGTGAGTGACCTGTTAAAAAATGAAATAAAGTTAGGGGCTCCTGGGTGGCTCAGTCGGTTAAGCGTCCAACTTCAGCTCAGGTCATGATCTCACAGTTCGTGATTTCAAGCTGATTTCGATCCCTAGGCCTGGGTCTTTGCTGACAGTTCAGAGCCTGGAGCCTGGTTCAGATTCTGTGTCTGTGTCTCTTTCTGCCCTTCCCCTGCTCACATTTTGTCTCTCTGTCTCTCAAAAATAAACATTAAAAAAAATTGTTTTTTAATGAAATGAAGTTAGACATTAGTTGCTATCTAGCTATGTTATGCTAGTGTTTACAGATCACTGCATTACTTGCCAGTTGTTCATAAGCCATCTGTTTAATAAGGCCCCTATTTTTTAACTGTAATTTCCCTCCCATTTCCAACATTGCTGGTCCTGCTTTATTTTTTATTTATTTTTTAAACAGTTCTAGAATGATTAACAGTGTTTCTTCATAGTTGGATTTTTTTGTCATCAGGTG